AAAATCAATAATAACATTTAAAAGAATAATCATTAACAGAAATAATAATAATTAAATGTAAAAAGAAATAAGAAAAAAAGGTAATACTGAATAAAATAAAGTTAAAGAGAAAACAAAAGAATAACAAACAAATTAAGAAGTGATTATTTCAGTGAATTCAATATGCTCTATTTCTATAATAGAGTTCATTTCTAATATATGAGAATTAGAAAGTTCTTCTTCTAATGTGTTACCAGTGTTGAATATGTAGAACATTAAATATTTCATGTTTTTAATAATATTGTTCATAGTATTTTGTTGAAGTTGATTTGTAATTTTAGTGATTTTAATCTTCTTACTGTTTCTTTATGTATTAATTGATTGTTAATATTACAGGTATTATTTCTCTACTCTGTATTAACTTCTCTTGTAATTCTTTGTATTTATTTATTTTGTAAATATAATTAATTCAATATTTCTATCTTAACATATATCAACATCATTAATATATCAATTTTATCTTTGATGTTTTGATAATATATATCTGATATTTTAACATTAAAAGAATGGTCACTAACAAATAAATATTTAATGTAATTTATAACAATTTCATTATTATTAATACATTTTGTTAGGACAATGTTTACAATATTTTAATATATCAATATGAAGTATTTTAGATTTAATACTTCAATTTATAATTACTCCTTCTTGCATTTTTACTACTTTGATGAATACATTTCTTTTTATATTTAATGACCTCCATATGGTTATTGTTAATTTCTTATTATTAAATATACACATTTCTTATATATTCACTACATTTCTTTCCATTTAAATATCTTTTATTTTATTTGTTACAATTTCAAATACTTTATTTATATCATGTTTTATTTTATTTATTTGTATTATAATACTGATTATTTTTATTTGAATTATTGATAAAATAATATAATGATGAAATAAATGAATTGATGAATGAAAAATATAATGAATATGGTGATAATTAATGTATTAAATATTATAATTATTACTTATTCTCATTATTATATCTTTTATATTTCTTATTAATATTCATTTCTCATTCTTTTATTATGTTTATTTTATAGTTATGTGATGTTTCATTTATTATTTTGTTATAGAAATATACAGAAATGATAAATAATAATAAAATAATGAGAGTAATCAAAATCATTAATGAATATCAACATTAACTTAAATTTATTCAAAATATAATAATAACAGAACAAACAAGATTTACATTAATATTTATTATTTCTATAAAATATTCAATTTTCATTTATTATATCTTTTAATCATTTTTAATATTCTACTTTAATCCATTATGTAATAAAATAAACAAATAGAATCATTTGTTAATATAATGATAATAGAGTTCAATAATCTAGTGAAATAACAAGAAGTATAAGAAGAAATTGAATGTATTTAAAAACAAGAAATAAGAAATTATAAACATAAGAGAAAATCATAAAAATAAATTGAAATTCTTCAATCATAATTAATATTATGATAAATCATTAAATATATTCAAGTATTAATCAAAACACAAAATAGAGTGATTGATAATATTTAAATACAAATCAATGAAAAACAAGAATAAATTAATATTTAATCGAAGAAGTTTATCATATTAAAATATTTTAAAATAATAGAATGAAATCATAATAAAATAAAATGATAATGAATAAATTATAAAATATATTCATAATAAATATAATTATTTTATAAACAAGATATGATAAATTTAATGAATTTAATAATTTAATTTCATAAAATAACATTAATAATCCAATAAATAAATTATTTAATAATTATAAATTCATTAATGATTAATTAGAATATTTCATTGATATTCAATATTAATGATAAAAATATTGAATTTATTTGTATTTGTAATAAAATAAAAGAAAATAAATAAATAATAATAAGTTATTAATTCATTATATTGAATTAATATTTATAAAATAAATTGAATAATTAAACAATTCATAATATATTAATTGATTTTATTTATAATGAAATGAAATAATTGATAAATAAGTTAATTAAATTCATTTATTTGTTTTATTTAATTTAAAAAGAGAATAAAACATCAATTAATTTGAATTTAATAAATTATAATATCATTTAAATATTTAAATAAAATAGAAATATTATCATTTGAAATATTCAAATATTCTATTATGTTTAATGATTTTGAATATTATGAAAATAATTATATTCATTTTTATTATTTATTTTCAAATTATATTATTATTTTCATATCATTAATATCAATGAATATTTTGTAACTGAATAATTATTGTTGTATAATTGAAATATAAATAAAATATTCATATTTAAATATTTAATTTTGATTTATTAATCATATTTTATATCATAATATTATTGATATTATTTTATTTCATTATATTTTAAATATATTAATATTCAAATATCACAAATTAAATAATTTCAATGTTAATCATAAATGATATTATTATTTATATATCATGTATTTATTATATCATCATTATTTATTATTCATTATTTATTTTATATATTTGTATTAATATTAATATTTTAATACTACATTCATATTATCAATTTATTCTATTTATTTATTATTTAGAATTCATTTATTCTTATTTATATTTCATTTTATATTCTCATATTTCAATATTTTATATTTTGAATATTTCTATTTCAATTATTTATTTCATATTTTCTTTTTATGATATTTTCTTTCTTATCATCAATTATCATATTCATTTGTATTTCATTTTTATTATCAATTGATTTGATTATTTCATGTTCAAATATTCTAATATCATATTTGTATATTTAACTTCTCACTTGATGTTGTATTTTAAATATTTGATTTTGAATTTATCAATTTTATCTTATTTATCAATATTTGTTGTATTTCTTTCTTATTCATTTTAGATAAATCACAAATTTCATATGAATATTGTTGATATACATTCAATATTTATTCTATATTATTTCATTGTTGTTTATAACAAAAGATAAAATCAATTCATTAAAATGATGAATAAAATATGATTATAATACTTTCATATTTATATTAACAAAATAATGATTACCATTACATCAATGAGATAAATCAATGATATTAACAATAACATTATCTCATTATTTATCAAAATCTAATTTAATAAAATAATGAAATGAAGTAAAAAGAAGTTATTCATAAGATATATTTAAACTAATTTTATCAATAATCTAATAAATCAATATAGATATAATATCTGTTTAAATTAAAACATGATAATGATGAATAAATGAAATAAAAGAAATCATAAGAAGAAATTAATAAAAAGAATAAATAAAGAATATAACAAGAAACAAATAAATAAAAATATCAAATAAGAAATAAATGATAAATAAGAAATAAACGAATATATTTTAATGAATAGAAATGAATAAAATATAGAAATAAAAGAATGAAATAAAAATAAATAACAAAAAGAATAAATAAATGTTATTAAAAACATAAAAAGAACTTAATAATAAATATGAGATTAAATAACAAAATTAATGAAATGTGATATATAACAATAAAATAAAATGTTATTAAAAATAAAAAGAACTTAAAAATAAATAATAATGGGAATAACAACATCAACATCAAATAACATATCAATTGATAAAACAAAACAAATAATTAAACAAATAGAAGAATGGACAGAAAGAAGAATAAATGATGTTATATTTAATTCAAATATTGATAAGTGGAATATGTGTACATCAGTATTTAATCAAAGAATAATAAATAAAGAACATATAATAATTATTATTGAAGATACAAATGGAAATAAATTTGGAGGATATGTTAATGTGAAAATTGATAAAATTGATAATTGGATAAATGATCCAAAATCATTTTTATTTTCAATAGAAACAAAAAGAAGAATACAAAGAATGAAGAAATTTGATATTAAATATCTAGAAGATGCATTTTGGTTATATGACCAATCAAGTAATTATTTGTTTACATTTGGATGTGATATTTATGTTTATAAAGAAAGTTATAAAACAAAATCATATTGCAAACAACGTTCATATGAATATAAAGGAATAACAAATGCACTTTGTTGAAAACAATTTCCAGAATATTTCACACCACAACGAATTATTGTAATTGAAATGAAATGATTTTTATTCATTATTATTTATTTGAATTATAAAAACTAAAAAAGAATATAAAATAAAATCAATAAATCAATATAAACATTTCATCTATCAATCAATAAAACAATTAAATGAGAAAATAACTAAGAATATAAAATAAAAAGAGATAAATTAGAAATGATAATAGTTCAAGAAATGAAAGGATGATGTGATTCATTATCTATAAAATAGAAAATAATGAGAAATGATTGTTCAATAACCATCAATATATTTAATACATTGAAAGGTACCAATCAAACTAGAAATAATTTATTCAGAAATTAAAGAACAAAAAAAATTAACATTGCGTCAAATAATATTAATATACAATTTGTATGTATTACCAAAGAAAGAAGTGAAGAATGGAATATTAATGAGAAATCAACTATTAGAATGTTACTTGATCATGTATGTACTATTAAAGAACTATCACAAACTGAATGACTAGTTATTATTGAATATTTACATTAATGAGAGATTTGCATATTCAGGAAGAAAGTAACAAATAATATTTGGAAGTATTAGCACTCCAGTAACATTTAGTTCACATACTGAAATATTTATAAACACAATACATTGAACAATGTCTAGTTAATGATAGAAAATGATATGAAGGATGAGGTGAATCAAATTCATTACTATTCGGATTTGTATGAATTGAAAAATTTAATAGAAGATATACAATGTATTGAACAACACTAACAATCAGATTATGAGATGGTATTCAATATTCTAAAAATTAATAAACATTAATAAACATTGATATTTTCAAATTCAAAATAATTAATAAAAGAAATAAAAAGAACTGAAAAAAGAATAATAAAAAAATGGATAATGATGATAGATTTAATCAAGTCAATACTCTCATTAGAAAAGAAGGAATAACAATCAAAGGATATTGTGTGAATGATAAAAGAATGATTTGTTTCAGTGATAATAATAGAATCATTTATTATAACATTGATACACAAGAAAGTATAATTCATACACCACCACCATTAATGAAATCAGCACCAATTATTAGTATTGATTGTTATGAAGATTTAATACTCACAAATTCAAGTGATTTCACTGTATTAGTCATTGAAATTGAAACATATTGAGTGTTTTTATCGACAAGTGATTTCAGGAACAACCAAAGGATACTTTTTATCAGCAAGAATCTTTACATTATATTCAAATGATAAAACACTGAGAGTAATTGAATATCCTGATACATCGATTGTTGGATTTGGACAACGAGGACATGTTGATGTATTATCAAATTCATGTTTAACACATGTTACAGCAAAAACAAAAGAAGTCGGACAATTTATGTTAGCAACAAGTAAATCAGTATTTTTATGGTTATGTGATTTAAATGATGAGAAAATGAATAGAAATGAATCAAAATATCAGAGTTGTATTCCACCATTCACATGTCCACCAACAGAATATTATCTGTATAAAAAATCCAAAGTATTTCATCAACACCTATTCTTCAAATTGAAAAGAAGGAAACACTCCCACATCTTTGTATATTACATAATAACACAATAAGTTTGTATGAAGAAAGATTTGATGAAGGGAAATTTAGTATTGAAATAATTAAAGAAATCAAAGTTAAATCACCAATATCTATTATTTGCTGTGATACAATCATTTTAACACAATATAATAATCAAATTAAAGTTAATCAAGGGAATAGAGAGAAAGAAATAATAAATAATACACCAATAGAAGAAATTCAGAATAATGATAAAATGATAGTAATACTCACAATGAATAGATTCAAAAGTATAGACATTCCAACAGAAGAAGAAATGATAGATGAGATAGAAAATGAAGAAGAACAAATAAAGATATGCATTGAAAGAAAAGGAACAATGAAAAGAAAAGGAAAAGAAATCATAAGTAAAATGGCAAAAGAAGGAAAAGATTGTTGGGAATATGCAAAAGAATTAGAATGTGTTGATACATTAATTGAATCCACTCCTGATGAACAAAAAGAAATAATAATGAATAAAATAATTTCAGAAATAAATGAGAAAGGAAAGAAAATTGAAATAAATAAGAAAAATGCATGGGAAATATTTGTGATGGGATTGAAAAATAAAGATAGTACAATAAGTGAAAGAATAATAGGATGTTATTCAAATATATTAGATATTGCATCTGTGATCAGTATATGTATTGAATATTCAAGATATTCTACTATTTTCACAATGTATAGGTCATTAGGGAAAAAGACAATTGAAGCATTTCGCATTGTTTCACATAACATTCTCAAACATGGAATCACACCAACAAGTTTAATTGAAGAAAGCATGAAGAACAATATTGAAATGCTTATCACAAATGCAGAAAGATGTAATGCAGAAGGAGATGATAAAGAAATAATTAAGATAGTATTTAATAATACATATGGAATGACATTAATTGAAGAATTATTATTTGTAAAGACAAAACAATAGATGTGTTGAGAGATATTGGAGAGAAGAAAGAAGTTATTGAAGGATTAATAGAAACAATGAAAAGTCCAATCACAGAAGTTAAAGAAAGTGCAGCACGAGAAGTGATTAGAATGAAATATGGAGAACGAGGAATGAAAGAAGCTATATTTAATGTTTTAACATCAAAAGATTACAATAAAGAAGATGAAGAAATGTGTAATGAAGGAATTAAAGAATGTGTTAAAGAAAGAAGTGGAAAAGAAATAGATAAAATAGTTAAAGCAGCATTCACAGTTAATAATAAGAAAATATTACGGAGATTAAATGAAAATGAAACAGCACGTGATGCGTTAATGACAATGGTTATTATCCAAAAAGGAGATGTATGGAATGAGATAGAAAGATGGATACGAAAAGGATTAGAACGAGAAAGTATTGAGAAAACAGTTAAAAAATTCACAAAAAAAATGTATGAAATGGATATAAAGAAAACAATGAATATTGGAGTTAAATATTTTGCAAGTTGTGGATTATATTGTTTAGTTCAACCAAACACACCATATGAAATCATTTATGAGTATGGAAGAATAATGATGAATGAAGTAAATCCAATCATTCAAAGAAATATGAGATGTATTGTTATGAAAGTGATTGAGAGTTGTTATGAAATGAAGAAAGACACCACAGAAATACGACAAATCATCGATAGAAAAACATGTGATATGGATAAAGTTATTGAACTGGCATTGAAATATAAAGATGAAAGAACAATATTGATGATTAGAAGAAAGAAAGGAGAAATTAAAGAATGTTTTAGAAATCTTCAAAGCAGAAGTATCACATGTTTAAATGAAATAGACAAACAAAATCAAAATCAAAATGAAGAAGAAAGAAAAGAAAAGGAAGAAGAAATAACTAAAATGTATGAAGGAATTATGGAAGATCTCAAAGAAGTAAGTGAAACATTTCGATTAAGAGATATAACTAGAAATGAAGAATGTGTTGAAGTGATGAAGAGATGTAATGAAATAATGAAGAGAAGAAATGAATGTTATGAAGAATACAAGAAAGTGTATCGAGAAATAGTTGAAATAGAAATTTCAAATATACCAATAAAAGAAGGAATTGAATTTTGTTGTAAAATCACAGAAGGAGTTTTATTAAGAATGGTGTTAAGTGATTTAATCAAACAAAGCCAATCGAAATTAACAATGTACAAAACACTTCAAATGATTTCAAATGAACAACTAAACCAAACAATACAACAACATAACAAAGAATTAAAAAAAGGAAATATTACAACAAAAGAATGTGTTGTTTGTCATAAAGAAAAGGATGAATTAATCAATGTATTTGGATGTGGTCATAGTTATCATTCAACATGTTTAAAATCATCAGGAATATGATTAGAATGTAATCATCTTATGAAATAATTAGGTTTAATCAACAACGTGATTACATTGTTGTTGTTATATCATTTGAAATGATTATTTGACAATAAATCACATTATTTATTATTATTATTTCTTGTTATCTTTTTATTCATCATAAATCATTTCTTTTGATTAATTGATTGATTTTGATTAACAACATTCATTATGTTGAATGGTAAGTCATTTGACCACTCTAAAAAACAAGACCAATAAGAGATAATCAGAAAATGAAAGATGATAGTGAAAAGTGGATGTTTCATTCAAATTGTTTATTTATCATAACTTAAAAATAGAAAAATAAAAAAATCGAATGATTACTATTTTTAAAATAGATTTTTTTAAATCTTAAAAATATTTTAAGTTGAAATAAAATAAAAATGGAAAATACAACAAGAAACAACAAATCAATAATGAAATTAGGATATAATGAAATAATGATAACATCAATGTACTTTAATGATATTAATGATTTTATTAATTTAGAATTAGGTGTTAAAAGATTTCAAGGAAATATGGAACGATTTCATTTTAATCCAATTCCATTAAATGAACATTCAAGAAAGTTGTTTCCTAATATTGAAACATTTCATATTTATAGTAAAAATGATGAAATATTTAATGATGGAAAAATATTTAAAAAAGTGATGTGGTGTACAGTAGATTATTCAACATATTTAAAAGAAAAAGAACAAGGAAATTCATGTAAAAATATAGAATATACATATAAAGACAGAAATAAATATGGAAATATAATACCACAAGAAGTTAAATCACTTGGAAATGAATGTTTTTATGAATGTTCATCATTAACATCAATTAATATACCATCATCAATTAGTAAATTAGGGGATTTGTGTTTTAGAAAATGTTCATTAACAACAATTAATGTACCAACAACAGTTAGTGTATTAGGAAATGAATGCTTTTGTGAGTGTTCATCATTAACGTCAGTTACTATACCAACAACAATTAGTAAATTAGGAGATGAGTGTTTTAGTGGTTGTTCGTCATTAACATCTGTCACTATTCCAACAACAGTCAGTGAATTGGGACGCTGTTGTTTTGATGAATGTACATCATTGACAAGTATAGTCCTTGAAAATATACAGTTTATCAGCGAAGAAAGAATATTTATGAATAAACCAGTGCTAATTAGTTTTAAAATACCAAAAAACTTACAAAAAATCAATGGAGAGAATATCGAAAAGAAAGATATCAACGAATTTATTATTCCAACTACAATCACTAAATTAGGTGATTGGTGTTTTAGTGGTTGTTTGTCACTAACGTCTGTTGATATACCAACTACAATAAGTGAATTAGGTGGTTGTTGTTTTTGTGTATGTCCATCATTAACATCAATTAATATACCAACAACAATTAAGGAGTTTGGGTATTGGTGTTTTTATAAATGTTATTCATTAACATCAATTTCTATACCACCATCTGTTAATAAAATAGGAAAAGGAAGTTTTAGTTTGTGTGAGTCATTAACATCAATCAATATTCCATCATCAATTACGTCATTTGAAAATAGACAGTTTGATGGATCTTATTTGTTAAGACGTCTTGAAATAGAAAATCTACAATTCATCAGTAAAGAAAGAATATTTATGAACGAACCAATACTATTTAGTATTGAAATACCACTTAACCTTAAAACAATAAATGGAAAGAGTATTGAAAAGAAAGATATAAATGAATTTATTATTCCAACTACAATAAGTGAAATAGATGATTGGTGTTTTTATAAATGTAATTCATTAAAATCAATCAATATACCAACAACAATCAGCAAATTAGGAAATCACTGTTTTAGTGAATGCTCATCATTAAGTGAAGTTATATTACCAACATCAATTATTAAATTAGGAAATTATTGTTTTAATAATTGTTCATCATTAACATCAATTAACATACCATCATCAATTACATTATTTGGAGAATGTTGTTTTTATGGCTGTGGATGTACAGAAGAGTTAAAGAAGAATAAAACAATACCGAGAGGATCTTTTGAACACACACAATGATGCAAAAAGAATAAACAATAAGTAATTGAGTTAATTCATTAATTATTTGAATAAAAGAGTTATAAAACACTTTTGAATATAAAAACAATGAGAAAAACATACTACAACAGTTGAAATTGAAAGTATTCATTGTGAATATAATAAATATGAATAGTAAAGATACTGTGTAATGATTTCCAGATAATAAAACATAAAATTAAACAAAAATGATATTATAAACAAATTGTATATTTTATAATATTTGATTTATTTGATTATTTGATTTTATTGTTAATTTAATGAATATCATTATTTATGATTATCATTATCTAATTATTTCAATTCTTTTATTATTCATTTTTGACTTCTTGTTATATTCTTTTCTCTTATTTCTTTTTTTTGTGGCTAATATTTTATATTTCTTTACCTTTCTCTTTTAAATATCTTTAATTATTTACTAAATATCAGATTATTTGTTTATTTATTTTTCCATAATTAAATATTTCATTATATTTATTATAAATATGAAATATTTTAATATAACAAATAACATTCTTGAATAATGATTTAAATTGAATTGGATTAAAATGAAATCGTTCAATATTTCCTTGAAATCTTTTAATTCCTATTTCTAAATTAATAAAATCTTTAATATCATTAAAATACATTGATGTTATCATTATTTCATTATATCCTAATTTCATTCTTGATTTATTGTTTATTAGTTGTATTTTCCATTTTTATTTTATTTCAAGTTAATTTTTAAGATTACAATTCTATTTTTCTTTTTTTGACATCCATTTATTCGTTTTTTGTATTTAATAAAACTATTTAATAAAGATGTATTATTACAACTATCTAACTAAAACATGATCACTAGAAATATGATAGTCATAAATATTAAAGATGTTACATAGATTCATTATTATAAATGAAGTAAAATTATATTTTTAATACTACTTTTTATATTGTTTTATTGTATTATTTTACTTTATTTTTTATTAAAAAAAAAGAAATGATTATATTTATTTATTCTTTATTTCTTATTATTGTATTTATTTGTATTTCTATTTGATGTTATGTACTATAAATTATTTATTAATAATTTACAATTTCATTTAATCTATTTCATGAATGTAAATTAAATCACTTTTTGTTTATGTTGTTTTAATTGATAAAAATATGAGACATTGATACTTCATTTATCTTCATTAATTATGCTTGTTACAGATTCTAATTCAGCAAACATTTTCATAACTTTCTAATTATCGTTATGACAATATCAAAATATTGTTTAAATGATGATTGAATTAATACATGAATAAGATTTAAATCTATTCTTTTCATGATATTATTCAATGGTAGTTATTGATTCGTTTTCTTTTCTTCTTGTTGGTGATTGATTAAAATGAAATGTAATATGATTTGGTGATTGTATCAATTAAATTATACATCATTATTTCAATGATATTCAAATGTATTTGATCTATTTCATAATCACAATGATTTATATTTTGAAATTATTGATGAGATATATTTCATTAATTAAATTATATTAT